TATGTACTATATGGGTACATGGAGCTTTTGGTCTAGGTCCGAAGGAAGTCCAGGCTTAGAGTTGTCAGTGCTTTAGGCTGATTGGGTTAGGGTTTAGGGTTTAGGGTTGAGGGTCTAGGGTTAAGGGTTTAGGGTTTAGGGTTAGGGTTTAGGGTTAGGGTTTAGGGTTGAGGGTTGAGGGTTTAGGGTTTAGGGCTTGGGGTTTGGGGTTTAGGGTCAATTTCAGTAAGCAGTACGGCTGTGGGGCATACTATAGTCTAACTAATTACAAGAGAATAGTGATACCAGTTATTCCAATTCCGACCGCTTTATTGGGGTGTTAGGAACCCCAAGGAATAGTAGCACTCGTGGTTCCGACACCTATATTAGAGCGTCCGTCACCGTTTGTCTTTCGGGGATTCGGGTTAGGCAAGGCTTTGGCTGCCAGGAGCTCGGCGAGAAGCGCCTAAGGGCAGACCATGAGTTCTAGCTGTAGTCGTACCTAAAGTCTCCATTGCAGTTCCTTTTTTGCGTTACATTGTAGGATCCTGAACATAATTCCGTCTTTGCGTTACATTATAGGATCCTGAAGATATAACTGGCTAGACCAAAAACAGGAAGTACAATGGAGTCTACAGAATCTACTGGGCTTCTGGGGCTTCAGGGATTGCGGGCTTTAGGGTTCAAGATTTATTCGTTGGGCAGTTAGGGTTTAGGGTTTACGGTTTAGGGTTACAGGGCCGCATCGCATCTCCAAGCCACTTGTCGAAGGAGTTTTCCATCCACAATAGGCAAAGGTTCCTAGGCACGCGTTCGTAAGGAAAGAAGAAACCGTAGCCTTTGTAGGGCTTAGGCTATGGAGTTGTGAAACAACCTCCTGCCAGCCCGAACCCCAGTAGACCTGAAACCCATAAACCCTAAACCCTAAATCCGAATCCCCTAAACCCTAACCCCCGAAACCTGAAATAAACCCCAAATCCTCAACCCCTAAATGCTTAACCCCATTGCCTTGGACCGGCCCGAACCCACAATAGGAAGACGCTGCCAATCCTTGAGAATGGGGGGGGGGGAAGGCAATGGTTCAGGACATGTGCTTCCTGGCTCAGGATCACGAAACCCCAACCTCATAGCGCTTAGGATATAAGGTTCAGGGCAGGGTTTAGGGTTAAGATACCCCGAAATTGACGTATGCCAAATCCAAACACACCAAAAAGTTAGGTTTCGTAAACCCTAAACCCTGACCCGTAATCCCTAAACCCATATGTAAACCCATAAACCCTAAAGCCATAAACCCTAAACTCTAAACCCATAAACCCTAAAGCCATAAACCCTAAACTCTAAACCCATAAACCCTAAACTCTAAACCCATAAACCCTACACCCCATAAACCCTAAACCCTATAAACCCCCAGAAGGATCTCCAGTAAACCCAAGGATCCTCTGGCTTGGGTCCTGCTCCTTCTGGCACTGCCTCAGCAAGGCCAAGAATCGTTTCGGCTTAGGGTTTATAGGGTTTTGTTCGGGTTTTGGGCTCTTAGGGTTTTTGGGGTTTAGGGTTTATAGTGTTCGGGGTTTGAAGTTTAACAGGTTTAGGATTTAGGGTTAAGAGTCTTTTGGGGTTCAAGGATTAGGGTTCACCTGTAGTCTCCATCGCCTTTTCTTTGTGTGGGTTAAACAGTTTTGTAATTGCTTAGGATCGTCTATTGCTGAGGGTATGGGCTTCACCGAATTTTGCTCCATTGGGCAGGGGAATTAGTAAGTGGTCTTTAGGTCGGGCGCCACCAGGCTACTTACAATGTGTGCCGTACTTGCGAGTTCGATTCTTTGCTTTGGGATTTAGGTTGGGGCCTAATCCGAAGCTTACCCCAAACCCCAAACCGAAACCACAACGTGTTTGCAAACCCCCAAACCCGGCACAAATACTTAAGCCTGCAACCCGACACTTAAAGACTTACCCTTACCCTAAACCCGAGAATTTGAACTTACCCCAAACCCGGAGCCCGAAACCCTAAAAGTGCTCTACACCCTAAACCCACCCCAAGACTTGACAAAAAAAACGCAAGCAGATCGACGTTTAACACTGAAACCCTTAACTATAAACTACAGACCCTTGGCCCCAAATCCTAAGCACTCGCATTGGCAAGTTGCCCGTTCACTTCCAGGAGACGGATCTGAAAACCTCGCGTACCACAGTCAGAGCAATACTTACAAGGAACTAAGGTTAACCTTTTGGAGTCTATAATTTTTGCAGTTCCCCCAAAGGTTAAATGTTACCGATCTACTCGCGCTCTGTGAGGATTCCTTCTGCTTCGGCTAAGCTCGGGCACAAGGTTTAAGGGTCCTTTCGTGTTTTGTTTTATTATTAAGGGTTTGGGGATCTAGGCCTCAGGGCTTTGGGGCGCAGGCTTTAGGGTTTAGGCAAGCGTTTCCAATATGGCAATACTGAGCTACTGTCAGCGCGTCCTGGGTAGCCCTGTAAGCGTCCTACATCCAGCTTCAGGCCACCGAAAGAGCCACATCCAAATAGTGAACGCTGTGCACCCGAAGCCCATCCCCTTTCGACATGCTCAGATATCTGTAACCGGAAACTCTTACTACTGATGATGATATAAATCATTACCTTAAGGACCCTAAACTATGGGAATTATGGTATCTTCCATATCTATGGGGTAATGCAGGATTTTTATCATCAGCCGTAGTATAGTAACTTAGCTTAAGTTCCTTAAACTCTTATATAAATTCTTGTAGCCGCTGTCTCTCTGATGCTTGCTCAGCAGAACTCAGCTTCTGACGGGCGAAGCTCCTGAAGAAGCCGTCTTGGAGTTGAGGCTTCGGTGTTCAGGGCTGCAGAGCGTCCACAGGGTTTACGGTGTAGGGTTGAGAGTTTAGGGGCTTAGGGTTCAGGGTTGAGGGTTTAGGGGGTGTGGGGTTTAGGGTGTAAGGTTTAGGATTTAGGGTTTTAGGGCAGTGCCCAGAATTTAGAATTTGGGGTTAGGGTTGCAGAGTTTGGGGTTGGATCTTTGGGGCAGGGAAGACGAGCCAGGAGGAATAGTGACTCCTGATCTTCTGGTGGGAGACTTTCTACAGACTCTACAGCATGTTGTAGCAGATGCGCAGCACCGCTTCTGGCACTTCAATACTTACGTGGGACATGACGCCAGCAGAATACTTGTGCAGCAGCCTTTCTACAAGGTGCGGACCAAGCGCTTGCACGCAGCAGGAACCATGTGGTTTGGGGAAACCCTAAACCCCAAACCACTAAACCCTAAACCCCTAAACCCCAAACCCCTAAACCCCTAAACCCATAAACCCTAAACACCCCTAAACCCTACAACCTAATCAAACCCTTAAGCCCTAAAGCCCTAAACTTTAAACCGTGTAGGCAGCGCAGGCCTCGGGGACTGCAGGTACCTAAAGCCTTTCGAGGATGACTTGCGATGTCGCGGGAAACGGCTTAGGGTTTAGGGTTTAGGGTGTAGTACAAGTTGACAGAGCAACCGCCCAAGAAACCGAGGCAGTTGAAGACGTCCGTGATGCCAGGAACCCTAGCTCCCTTGACCATCAACTGCCGTAAACCCGAAATCCTGCACCCCATGACAGTACCCTATACCAAATGCAATTTGGCTATCCGGGCTTGAAATAAACCAAACAAAGCCATCCTTCAAAAGGAGTGAGCAAGACATGGGTCTAGGGCTTAGGGGTATTCAAAATCGAGTTTAAGATCGGATATATGGAGACATTAATCAATCGGATATAGGGTTCAGGGTTCGAACTATTGGGGCTTAGGGTATAGGGTTTAAAAGTGCCACCAAGCTGCATGACAGAAATGACGGCCAGAAAAAGATTGCAGCTGCAGTAGCAGCATGTCAGCTGCCTGTTGTGATACAGAGCTCCCATGTAGCCTGGGCCGGGACTGCAACTTGGGGTTTGAGGCTAAACTAGTCTGACTACATATCATGTACGTGTCTGTACCTATACCTATACCTATATATCTATATATATATATATACACATATATATATAATTTATACAAGTATAAACACACATACAAAAGCATTCACAGTAATTTGTCTATTCGTTTCTTGACTTACATGCCAACATGTAGTATATAGTACTGTGATCATCATCAACAGCAGCATCACCATCCGCAGTAGCAGCAGCAGCAGCAGCAGCAGCAGCAGCCGCAGCCGCGTCAGCACCGTCTGACCCATCATCAGCAACAGCTTACATTCATCGTCTTCACTACGGCCGGTTTGATAGCTAGTAGGATGGATCATGTTCGCCATCATCATCGTCATGGTTCAAGCGATGATGGGCATTCTTCCACGCCATAGTCATGAGTTTCAGCATCATTCGTCACCACATTCAACAGCAGAAAAAAACGCAGCAATGGAGGCCCAATCAATCACCCTCATCAGTTATAATAGGCATCACTTTAAGAATAGTGCTCAGACTAATAATACTCGTCTTCGTCAACATCATCATCTGCAAGAACATGACAGTCATTCTCGTCGTCATTATAATCATAATGCCGACCATTTTGCAGAGCAGTGGTATAACGATCGCAAAGAAAACCCTGAACCCTAAACCGTAAACCCTAAATCCAGTCAAAACGAGCCGGGACCAGCTGTCATGCTTTATGTCTTTTCAATGTCAGGGGGTTTCCGAAAATAGGGGACCCTAGTAGTTACTGTACTATAGCTACTATACAAAATAAGGATCCTACTATTTAGGGTACTATAGCGTATAGTACCCTAAATAGTAGGATCCTTATTCTAAGGACCCCAAAATAAGGTACCCCCTAGTTCTCGGAAAGTCCCCCGTGATCCGAGTTGTAGCGACAGCAAGACAACGTACACTCCACTGCGCCTTGCGAGAGCTCTAGCAGTGTTTGGCGGGGTCTGCAAAAGCAGAACCGGGCTTCGCGCTGTCCATTGTAGTATGTTGAAGCCGGCTAGAAGTGATAGTCTTGCGAAGTAGTCAGACCTACCCCGAAGACCTAACCCCTCGACCCTAAACCCTCTATAACATGCTGTCGGAGTGGCCGGACACAGGAATGCTGAGCTCGATCAGCAGCGCAGACAGCTGCGACCAGATTCCCGCATTGGCATCCCCATTCTCGGGACCTCGCCGTGAAAGGGTTGAGTGTTTAGGGATGTTTAGGGTTTAGGGTTTAGGCCCCAACTAAGAAGGGCAAACCGTTCTTTGGGTTTGGGGAAGTTCTAAGTTCTAGACGCTTTACCCAAAGGCTCCATGTACCCATATAGTATACACTTAGACCCTAAAGTACCTATATAGGAACCCCTTTAAGGCCTAAGTATGTACTATATGGGTACATGGAGCCTTTGGGTTAAGTACTATGAACATGATCCTCGGAGAACTTGAAGGGCAGGAGGTCGGTGGGACTGGCAGGCTCGGGGGTGCTCCAGTTTTTCGCAGCCAACCCCGAAATGGTGCAAAATTTGCGCGCAACACTTTAGGGCCTAGGGGCTTAGGGCTTAGGGGTCTAGGGTTTAGGGTTTAGGGTTTAGGGTTTAGGGGTCTAGGGTTTAGGGTTTCGGAAAACTAGATTCCTGGAAGTCCCTAAACCTCGACAACTCCCCCTACACTTTCCTGTCGGGAATCTATCTTCCGAATCCCGAGCACCCGCTTGAAGAACAAGGAGCTGTCGTAGTTGCCCCGGAGCAGGTTGACAACAAAGTGAATCACCGAGACGGCGCATGCCGCAGCTGCGAGGAGGATCACGCGGATAGTGATCCGCTTCCTGGACTCTTACAAGAAACTTGATTGATAAGGAAGCCCTCCTCTTTACTAAAATTTATTTTTGACCCTTAGACTAAGTTTCTTAACCCTTAAACTAAAACCTTAAAGCCCTACAACACACAACCCCCAAAACCCTAGACGCTACCCCCGAAAAAAACCTGAAACTCTAAACCCTAGAACCCTAAAGCCCTAAGCCTTAAAACCGTAAAGCCCTGAACCCTAAAACCCTAAAGCCTTAAACCCTAAACCATAAAGCCCACCTAAACCAGAGCCCAGCTTCGCACTCCGATCTTCCAGGGGAATTCCAAAGGAGATCCTTGAGCGGCAGAAAGGAGACGCACATGACTCATGAGGAGGGGGCGGGGCGGCGGGGGGTGGGGTGTGGGGGGGGGGGGGCATGAATCGCAGTGTTCACGGCTTTTGTACCATGCCAAAAGATGACATATATATATATACATATATATACGTATGTATGTATGTATGTATGTATGTATGTATGTATATAGATATGTATGTATGTATCTATGGATGTATGTATGTATGTTTCTACATACATATGAACATAGTTGTTCGTATATACACATTACATTACATCACATCAATACATACATACATATATGCCTACATACACAAGCAGACACATGTTCAGATGCATGCACTTGTAAACATTGTGCATGCATAGCTGTATGGATGAAAAGCTTATCATAAACCCCAAAAAGTTGGAAACCGGATTCAGGACAATTCGTGCTGGGATTCCCTATGCATTACTCTCAAGGATTGAGACCATTGGGTTTCCAGCTTTGGGGCTTCTGTTGTAGGCCTATCCAACATGCGTGCCTGCGAGCGACGAGCTCCTGGCAAATCCAAGTAGATTTCTCGCTTCGCTCCATGAAATACAAGGGCCTTCATGATTAGAACAAGGCCTGTGGGGAGGGGGGAAAGGGGTATGTTGTAGAATAGCTATTATCAGGAACCCTAGGTAGGTAGCACTGTTGGTAACGATGCAGCCTCCAGTTTACTGCAGCGTAGCACTCTTGGACATCTCTGTGTCGTGCTCAACGAGCATGCCTCCTTTGCCATAGCTCTAGCGTTTACGGTTCAGAGTTCAGTGTTGTTGGGCCAAAGCAAACCCCAAACCCTTAAACCGAAACCCTACAGACCCCAGGCCTTATAAGCACTAGGTTACCTTGACCCTATCCTAAAACCCCAACACCTACGGCATACGGCTGATGATATACATCCTGCATTACTCATAGTAAGGAATACACCTAATTCCCATAGTTTAGGGTCCGCGAAGTAATGCAGGATTTATAATATCAACAGTACCTCATAGTCTATTGGACCAAGCCACAGGGTGCCCTCGCTGACACCGGGTGCAGCCGTAGCGGCCGACCCTCCAGTGGAGGCGCTTTCGGATGCAGTATGTAGCATCTCCGGTGGAGGCGGCAGGCTCGTGCGCTCCTTTTTAGGGCTTAGGGTTTAGGGATCTAATGTGAGCTAAATTTGCAAGATTTGAAGGCTGATGTTGAGGATTCCTCTGATGGCGTGGAGGTTGGGCGACAAAGGAAGACAAAGGCGTGTTCAATCATTCCCTATTCGAGTTGTGCAGGCCCCATTTTCTTAGCCGCCCTTAGAACCAGAATACAAATAATATTCCTATCAATCCTCTGGAGTTATGTTTGAAGAAAAATAAAACATAATTCCTAAGAGCATCCAAGTTTTATCAAACCATAAACCCTGAACCCTAAACCCTAAAAACCCTAAGCCCTATAAACCCTATAAACCCTATAAACCCCATAAACCCCATAAACCCTGTAAGCCCTATAAACCCTATAAACCCTGTAAACCCCATAAACCCTATAAGCCCTATAAACCCTATAAACCCTATAAGCCCTAAACCCTATAAACCCTATAAGCCCTATAAACCCTATAAGCCCTATAAACCCTATCAGCCCTAAACCCTAAGCCCTATAAACCCTAAGCCCTATAAACCCTATAAGCCCTATAAACCCTATAAACCCCATAAACCCCATAAACCCTATAAGCCCTATAAACACTATAAACCCTATAAACCC